CAGCACTGCAGCTTGTTTTCTGAATTGTTTCCCTATTCAATATGAATTAAAGAGATATAATTCATAAACTTTAATGTACCTACATTGCATTTTCATTTAACATTAAAGTGAAGGGTCTGTCTGCTTCAGCTAGAGGTTCAGATGGAGCAGAAGGCTTTCTGGCAACCTGAATGTTGGGCAATAGCCTCATTATGGCAGCTCTCTTCATATCACAAAACTGGATCTCAGATATAGACTCTAGTGTGAGATCTATCAACCTGTAAGTGTTGCATAAGGATAAGCTTTATAGCTGAAAACTTAATTGTGTTCTGTTGGATGGAGTAACTGCACCCACTACATTAGCACCCCTTAAGCCAATTGTGATCTCTCCAGCTGCAGAATTTCTGTCTCAGAGATGGCTTGAAGCAAAATGCAGAATTAGTGTGGGATTTGTATTACGCATTATGCTGTCCTTTATGGTAATATTAGGATATAGTCTTTCATTCCTTCAGACAACAATATTTAATTTATGCTTTTTAAAAATTATTGACTACTTGGATCTTCATTATGACTTGTAGTTCTATGTGGTGCTTTTTAAATTATGATTTAAAATACTGTTCTGTCTGTCTGCATCTCATGTACTGCATAGAACACTGCTCAGTTTTGTTCTGAACACCAGTGACAGAAAAAGATCTGTAGACAAGCTGCAATTTCTTACAGGGGAGGTAATTTTTGTTGGAAGTATTTGGAAGGTAATTTTTGAATAAGCAGCTAAGCAAACATTAACCATGCAGTTTGGCTGTTTGTGCTTTTCCTTGTCCTGTCAGGTAAGTTCACAGTAACCTGGGACACAGGCGCACCTATCCATTGTTCCCATCCAAAGAATCCCAGCATTAAAGCTGCATATCTCAGACTCTATGCTAGAGACAGCTACCCAAAAACTACAAGAAAAGAGTGCATTTCCTTTTGACCAGCAGCAATGTGATTCAGCACAGTTACTCATGATCAGGGCTAATTTCTGTATGCAAGGAGATGCTGAAAACCATATATTGCTTGAAAATGGGGAGGACATTAGTCCAAAATCCCCATTAGCAATGCAAAACAGATTCTAGTACATCTTGTCACAAAATTAGCCATATTATTTGTTCTACCCAGTTTCAAGTTGCAGACTAGCTTCTCTTGGGTGTTCAGTCTGGCAAGAATCTCCAGCAGGAGAGAATCTGATAAAGAGACCAAAAAAGGCCAAAATGACCTCATAGTATGTGATGACTCTATGTGAAAATCCTAGTCTGTATATTCATCATCTGCTTCTGAAAAAGAAAAAAAAAAAAAAGAAAAGAAAAAAAGGGGAAAAAGTATATGAGACTGAAAGGCACAGATGTCTGATTGAAATGGTTGTTTTACACATTTGTCTGTTTTCCAACACAGTTTACCAAGTCTGCAAATATTTGTGCTGTCCCACTGCATAGGTGGTTGAGGATTTAAATAAGCTGCTGGAGGCAAGGGATGATTTCTGTGGCAGTTCTGTCTTAAATGTGTATGAAAACACAGCCTCAGAGAGTGAGCCCAGCAGTAAAGTATCCTTCCCTTCCTTTCTGTTGAATACTATGTAAGGAATTGAATACTGTGGAAGGATTCATCTGTAATTTTGTATTTTGTATTTTGTATTTTGTATTGAATTGCATTTCATCGCAATTTTGTATGATTATAGGTTAATCTAATCTTAACTAGGAATTATTTCCAAACCTTTATATCAATTTTAGATAAGTTTCTAGGATCTCAAACACAGGATTTATAATCTTTCCTGATAGAAAACATGAAAGGAGCTTTTAGAGAGTAATAATATTTAAGCTCTTCTGTTTTCTTTATTTTCATGTCTTGGAAATTATATTTTCAAGGTTTTCTCTATAACCAACAGGATTAAAAACCTGCTTTAAACAAAACACACTTCGATTTTGTCATAAAGGTATGATTACAAGCGCTTTAAGAGAACACACAGAGGATACAATGAATCTCATGAGGAAGAAGACTGTGAGAGTTTGGCTTTGTGCATTTTGTCAGGCTTCCAACACTACCAAGACAAACAGATCCTAGCCCAAGACAGGAGAAGTGCGGATGTTCACACAGTGAGCTCTTGCTTCCTTAAGATACCTGCTTAAGACCTGGGCAGGTTTCCAGATCCTGATGTTTACTGAGAACTCCCTCTCTGTGCTTTTGGGGCAATACAGAAGAGTGTCAAACAAAAGGAGGAAAGGGAGTCAGAATCTTATCTGTGGGCATGCAAGCACTTTCAAGCATTGTGGGGATAAGAGCCAGTCCATACAGAGACACAGCCCATGCAGGTGCTTTGCCCACCTGCCTGAGAATGGCATCACTGTCCCCCTGGGAAGGACAACAGAGATCTGAAAGCCTCCTTGTGAGGCTGCATGTGCCCAGAAGTCATCAATGGAGCAAGTCTCTTTCACCAAATACCTTAGACTATAACCTTTACAAAGAAAATGTTTTATTTTTCAGTTATCTACATACCACTCTTTGAGACCACAAAACTCTGTATTAGACTGTAATTAGATATATTTCACAACACCCCCATGAGGCAAATCACTGATTACAGCAGTTTTTTGAAATTAAGATGAGTGTAGTCATGGTTGGTAGTGACTATGATACTATTGCAATCTTATATTACTAAACTTCAGGCTATGATTGTATCAAATCTCAGAAGCCAAGAGGGTTGGGTCTGGCTGGCAGATGAGTAGAGAATGAAGAATTGAAAGACGCATTTGCGATTTCTTAAGAAGTTATGTGCTTATAAATCACAAGTCATATTAATTTGCTCAGGCATAAGTACTCTGGGGCTTTGGTGTCAGGAGACACCCTAGAGCTTGAGAGGTTGTGTTATGACAGAGAAATAAAACCTATGGCTTCTCCTGATCAGCTGTAGTCATACAAAAATCCTGTATTTTCATAGGACTGATAATTTTGCAGGACAAGTATGGTAATTTAATTTTTAACAAAAATGCTTTTTATTCCTTCTATTTATTTTTTTAATGGATGCACAGAAAGAGGAGCCTGGTAGCCTAAAGGCTGCAGAACTTTGCTACTCTGTATGAAATACACAGGGGTGTTGGAGGACTCTTAGACTTTCAGAGAGTGAGCAAGAAGAGGTGAGGGTGTATCAGACTCCTGCATTCGCAAACAGTCTCAGACTGTCCTAGCTGGACACACCATGTGTAATGGTTTAAGACAAAACTTGGGAGGAAAGAGCTGGTGCACAGAGGATTAGATAAAGATCAGCAAACCAGTGCTCAAGAAACCCAGGAAATGGCTCATAGAGAAAATCCACTTTTCAACTGAGATGTAAAGCTGTCCTTGGTGGTGTTGAGGGTAGCTATTGACTTGAACTGTAGCTTCAAAAGCTCAGAGCAGGCTTCACTACTGCCCAGGTATATGGTTTTGCAGCACAGATGACGCCAAAAAGGGTGTCAGTCACCCCTCCTCTTTAGCAACCATTTATGAGCAATTGCTTCCACTTCCTCCTTTCTGCTGTTCTCAGGGCCCTGAGCTGGACAAGCCTTTCAACCTGCACAACTGGCACAGCACTGCTCTGCTACATTTCCTGGTTCTCATCTCTTCTATTCCTACAGCAGGAATGCCATCCTCTGCTTAACACAAAATGTCCCAGAAGTTTTGTTAGTGGGTATGAACTATGTGTAGGTGACCAAGTGCTGGCAGCATGGGTGGTCTCTGTGAGGAAAAAGGGCTGTCCCACACCGGACACAGCCACTTCCAGACACCTCCAACAGACCCACCATGGGGAATGGCTGAGCCTCAACAGTAACACCGGTGGCACCCCTGGGAAAACATTTTTAAGGAAGGGCTACACCACTATGTACCAGTGAGAGAGAGAGAGAGGAGAGAGAAGAAAAAAGTGGGGGAATACCATTGTGAACATCAAGGTCAAAAAAAGGAGGGGATGGAGGTGCTGCAGGTGCTGGAGCAAGAATTTCCCTGTAGCCCATGTAAAAGACCACAGTGGGTGCAAATATCCGCAGCGTGGCCCATGAGGGAACCCACAAGAGAGCAAGTGGATACTTTCTGAAGAAACTGAACAAAACATCATAGACAATTTTGAAGAGAAAATCTCGGGGAAAATGTTTTTGACTGGTCAGACAGTCTGATAAAAAGAGTGTGAGTTTTTCTTCTGGGGTAAAAAACAAAACCAAAACCAAAACAAAAAACCAAAACAAAAAACAAAAACAAACAAACAAAAAAAACACCCACCAAAAAAAACAACCGCTAAAGAAAACCAAGCCAAACAACAAACTCACAAACGACAACCCAACATAGGAAGCCCGACTATTTGCAAAAGGAGGCACAAAACAGCAGAACGCTGTGGGTTCTCATGCCGCCACTTGCTGCTTCTGCTGCTCTGAAACACTTGCAAGAAGCCGGGTCTTCTGGGGCAGCGCTGCCAGGGAAGCGAGCACGGCGGTGGCACGCGTCCCGAGGGGACCGCGCCGGTGTATCCATAGGAAAAGGACGTGATGCAGGATTAGCCGGTTTGTATTTACACCCCGTACAGGGCGTTTTGCCTCCGACTTCCACAGCTGAACCCGCACATGGCTCCGGCGGGGCACAGGTTTCACCTCGGTAGAGCGCTGGGTTCACGGGCAGCCGCCGCCTCTTCCGAGCCGCTCCCGCGGGACGGGCGGGAGCGAACCCTTCCCGGGGCGGGGGAGCGATGCGGATCACGACAAACCGCGGGACAAACCGCGGGACAAACCGCGGGACAAACCGCGGGACAAACCGACTGCCCCGCTTGCCCCCGGCCTCTCAGCCCCGCGGCGCCGCCTCGCCGCTGCCAGGCACCGCCCCGTCCAGACGCCTCCGCCGGCCGGAGGCGATGGCTGGAGCGGGACGGGGCGGGGAAGGGGAAGGGAAAGGCGAGGGGAAATGTCGCGGTCGCTACGGGAGACGGGAGCAAACCGGAAGCCGGCGGGGCGGGGCGGTGCGGCGCTGGCGAGCCCTTCCCCGCCGCCAGCCTCTCCCCGCCGGGCGGCGGCGGCAGCGCCATGGGGTGCTTCTTCTCCCGCCGCAGGAAGCCGGCCCAGGGCGGGCGGCAGCCGCAGCCAGCGGGAGCCGGGCAGGACGCGGGCACCGGCGAGCAGAAGGCGCCGCAGTACAGCTGGGACCTGCGAGCCAAGGTACCGCCCCGGCGGCTGCCAAGGGCTGGGGCTGGGGCTATCGCTGTCGCCTCTCTCAGTGGGCAGCATCTCGCTCTCCTGCCCTCCGGGCTCTGCGGCGGGGTGTGTGCACCGGCAGGGAGCACGCCTTCCCCGTCCCGCTGTTACGGCTCGGTCCGTGCAGTTCAGTGCGTTTATCTGAACAATTAAAAAGTGTTTAGCCTAAGGATTTTACCGGGCAGTCTCAAATTGTGTAAGCGGAGAGGGCGGCGCGCTGGGTGCCGCGGGTGCGGGCGGTGCGAGCATCGGTCCCCGGTGCGGGGCTGCTCCGGAGGGGGCTGGGGCTGCCTCCCGGTGGGACGGCGCCCTGTGGGCAGGCAGCTTGGCTGTGACAGTCCCCACGGGTGTCTGCTTGCTTCCTGATACAGCGCGGAGTCCCCTGGGTGCGTGCTTCACTCGAGAAAACCGGGATTAATGGCTGGGGAGCTGCTTGTGCCCGGGCGAGACCCTGCACCGGGCATGGAACGGAGGCATAAAACTCGTGCCGTGTGTCCTGACTGTCTATATTGATTCTTCCTGCTTCGCTGTTTGCGCTGCAGGTTTGGTTGGTTGGGTTTTTTTAAGACTTTGGGGTGGTTTTTGTTTGTTTGTTTGTTTGGGGTTTTTCTTTTGCGTGTGGTTGTGTTTTTTTTTTTTTTTTTTTTTTTTTGAGGAAGTAGAACCAGTTTATTAGCCCCTAAAAAGACAGAGGAAGTCAAATCCTTTCCCGTGCTGTTTCCAGAGCTCCAGGAGACAGTCACGAAGACTCAAGCGGGAAAGCATTTAAATGCTGGATAAAATGTATTTCATCCTAGCCTCATTCCAAATATCGCTTCTTAAATATGTAATGACATTGTAACCCTACTAGGCCTCTCTTCCTCTCCTCTCTGACTACCTTCGGGTGGGAGAGGCAAAAACTGGGCAGGCGAAAAACATAATTAATGTGATTTCAACAAATAAAATCCTCAAACCTTTAGGCCATATTTTACAAGTATGTAAAAGAAAATGTGTGAACTTATTTGAATGTTTAGCTTGCTTGTTTTTTAAACTTGGCCAGGTGCTCTAGGGTGGCCCTTAAGTCTTTCAAGTAGATTAAGACAAGCTTAGATGGAGATGAGCTAGAGAGTGTGCATGTGGCCTGGAGGAATTGGCTCCTTGATGATAAAGATGAGGAATCTGTGTTGGGCTTATTGCTTTGACTGGATAGCAGATATTTAGGGAGCAGACGGAGAAAGATAGGATAACAGCCTGTCACTTGTATGGAGACTACTCTCACAGTGGGAGTGGCTGTAGTGAAGCCATATTTTAGTGAGAGAACAAAACTATATCTAGAAGTAAATTACCAAATCAGCCTTTGGAATACTATTTTTTAATTTTAGAGCAAATTTACTGGCTAAAGCTCAACAGAATTTTTACCCCTTCTACTTATATAAAGCTAACTTTGAAAACTAAAAGAAGGAAAGTCAGGATATATAAAGACTTGATTCAGAGAATAGCCGGCCTTGTTGCTAAGGAAATGTTTGTTGTTAACTTGCTGGAAGTAGGCTCAAGCTAACATATGAGACTGTTACAGCACCAACAATCTATCTTTGTGGAGTAAAAAAACCACGGTCATGTATTGCATGTAAAACTTCCTCGTTTTCTGTAAAAGACTCTTAGAAACCAGAAGAATCAGTGAGTTTGGGCTGTGCTAGTGAACTGTGTAAACCATCAAATTAGCTTCTTAGTGTTGTACTGTACAGCCTAAAAATGGCTGTTTAATGTCCAAGTTAATTTCCCTTGCTCTTTGCATCCTTATTTTTCATTGGGCTTTTTAGATGTAAGAGTAATACATTAAACTAGGAAAGCACCCAGAGTTATCTTATCTTAGGTGAAGGAGTACTGAACACTTGGTGCACTAAACTTGTTGATCCCAGTTTGTATTAGGTGACACCTTGTCAGTGTTAATGTAGTAGCTTTAAATGTTGTCTGTGATACCTTGTCCTGTTGTCTATTGCTTTCTCATTTCTGATGCTTCATATATACTTATTTATTTCACAAGTTTGTGCTTGTACACAAAGTAAAATTGAAGTAAGTAGGAAAAGAGTCAATCAAGACTCCTTTTTGTTCATCAAGTGCATTGAATCATATTCTAAATGCTGAAAACCTCAATTCTGTCAACAGATGTGCTAGGTTTTCTTTTGATGTTTATTTCCACTGTTTGGGTTGGGGATGTGTTTCTGATTTTAGGCTCTACTACTTTGTGATGCAGTTGTGGTTATATAGTTCAGTTTCACAGGCAGGTTTGGTAATTGTCTGTAGTTTTTGTAAACTATGCTCTGTATATTCTTACAGGTATCTTGCTGCTCAGACACTCCAACTGTCTTCCTGTAAACTAATGCCATCCTGACACGGCAGAAAAATGTAGGCACACTTGTGTGCATATTTGTGTGATTAGGGATGTGTAGCAGGGGGAACCTGAGGGGTTCCTCTAACAAAACTACTTCTGCTGCTTCTGAAGGACATCATTGCTAGTTGAGCCTATTTTAATCATGTTTTGATGGCAAAAAATGGTTAGTTTTGATACTGTCTGCTAGTGTAGCCCTAGACAAAGAGTAATATGATGATATTACAGTGACCATGTAACCTGTGTAATAGTCCCAAAAACAGACCATGTGGTAAAAAATTCTAAATAGAAAATATTATAAGATGCTGATAGCTAAAGTGAAATTAAGGAAAGTATATGAACTTGAGGAACCTTTTCAGATTTCTGTGTGACTTTATTAAGTGAGGACAGAAGTTTTAATGTATACAAAATGTAATCAAATTTAGATTACATTGTAAATCTGCTGGAGTCTGTAATGCTTACTCAGCCACAAGTTCAGAGAACTGTGTGAAGATTACTTATGGTGCAGTAGAAGAAACAAAGGATCAGATTATCTTGAAAACAGAAAGGAAAAGGATGAGTATTCCGTTTATTGCTGCTGTAGGATTCTCAGTCCATGAGTGTAAGTCCAGCACAGTTTATTCCAGAGTCTGCTAGTACTGTGTTACATCCTGAGGACTTATTATTAATGTCTCTCGAAGTCTTTGGGCTGTCATGAGAGTCTCTTTCTGACCAAGTTTGGGAGACGAACTTGGTGGTGCTCAGCCCTTCCCAGCTTCTTCAGCTAGCTTTGCACCTGGGTTGTTTTCCTTTCCCACTGTATGACTAACAGCAGTAACTGAATGTGGGTATGTACACACAGGAACTGGGGCTTTTGTGTCTCATGATGGCAGATACACTCATGACCTCCACAGGAGAAGAAACACAAATAGCTGCATCATCTTTTTTGCTTTAGTCTCATATTCAAAGAAGTAGGATTAGATTGATTATGATTATAGTGGCATTTAGAGCTTAGAGGAACTTTCCTTCTCGGATTATTTTTTTAACTTTTAGGAGGAACAAGTAAAGTTTTGTTTTATGTCAACTGACTTACAACTTAACTGGTTTAGTTGATAGGAAACATGCAACTATCATTGTTATTGTACTGTGTAGCTGTATTTAAACAGTTAAAAAACCTCAAGAGGTTTACCTTTTTGCCTAAATCATAGTCTTTTGTTAGTTACCTTACGTTTGAGGGTTTTTCATGAATGTTTCTCTTGTATCTTGAATTGTCTAGATCCTGTTTAGGTAGCCATTTTTTACTTTATTTTTGAATATTAATAACTTTTTTTCTCTAAACAATTATTTTGTCCTTAAATCCAATGTATCTCCCTTATGCTTCCTGGTGCACCAGAACTATTGCTGTATTTCTCAAAATGTGGTCAGATCAACTGAAAAACAGTCAGAAGGTTCATATTAAGCAGTATTTCCAGTTAGATCAAATACAGGCCTGTGGTAGCTTCCTCTCTTCTTTCACTTTTTCTGTATGCAATATTTGGCAGTGGTTTGCTGAATGTGAATGACTGGGTTATGATGTTATGGGCATTATGGAAAAGCATGAAGATTCCCAAGAATAGAATGAAATGTTCAGACTGTTGTATTGGCCACTTCTAAAGTCACTGTGTGCAGGAGATGCTCCAAAAAAACTGTTTGCTAGAGACAGGAACCTGCATTACATTTTCCACCTTTTCTTGTTGTGCAAAAATCTTGAAATCTGCCAGTGGATGAGTAACTTCAGCAAGCGAACTCCAGAGGATGTTGCAACTCATTACTTGAGGGCACCAAACCCATGCAAGTATGAATATGCAGAAGTGTCTAGGCCTGGGAATGCACTTTTATTTTTTATTTCCCTAAAGTTAATTCCCCTGCTGACAAAAATAGTGCTTAAAGCTTCTTAAGTTGATGTGCCTACCCTATAGGTGCAGCTTTTAATGTCACTGGGTCAGCAGCCAACTTCTCTATGTCATCAGCTCTAAGTTAATTTCTGTACTGCCATCTATAGTGACTTAGAGAGGGGATGATTTTTTGAGAATTATATTTAAAAGAGAAAACCTTAGTGTAAGGGGTTTAGAAATACTTTACAAACTGTTTGCTCAGCAGCCTAGACACAGATAACTAGAGGAGAACTGTAAGGATTTCAGTACCTTCTCATATTTATAGGGATGTATCTCTGTTGACTGAAACTCCTTCCCTGATGGATCCTGTGGAAAAGTCTTGCTAAGACATGAACTCATACCAGAAACACTTCAAGATGTTGGGATCCTTTACTATTCTAGGTACAGTTACCATTAAAAGCTGTGAAGCTCTAGCACTTGCAAGTCTTTTTCCAAATGGGAGCTGCTGGGTTTTAGTGCGAGTAAACTGAATAATGGTGGCTGAGGAGATGTATGTCATGTGCAGCTTTCACAAAGCCTCTGACCTTCTTGCAAGACAAGTGTTTGCAGGAAGGAAAGCTACTTAATATATCTTGCACTTGTAACAGGATGTCCTGGAGCTGTAAGCAGCCGTGACAAACTTGTTTGCCTTCATTTCTCTCCTTTTTGTTCTTTAAAATCCTTGCTTCTTACAATTTATCCTCTAGCCCTTTGTAACAGGTTTCTCACTATTGCAATTGCTAAGAACCAAAGATTATACTTCTATGCCTGTTTTGAGAAGGAAAAATATTAACCCTGTAAGAAGGGCTGGCTTTTTCATCATCACTTCTGGTTATGTTAGGCCATTCTATGGAGTAATGCCTGAACCTCTGCATAGCTACTTCAGTTAGAAGGTTTCAGCTCCTAAACTGCGCCAATATCTATTAATGTACGACTCTTATCTACTCTAAGAACTCTTTAAATTCAGCTGAAAATATTAAAAGTGACTGCTATGAATACTGTCACCTTTTGAACTTATAGCAGCCTGGGGAAAAAAAGGATGTTTAAAACAACCTGTTAAGGGCTGGAGAGTAGAGTGTCTGTCTGGGTGAGATGGGTGGATTTGGACAAAGTTTTTTGAAATTTTATCCAAATACAAAGGACAAGTAGATGAATTATCAAATACTTGAATTTTTCTGACCTGCCATGTGCTGAAGATTTTATAGCCAGTGGAAGACCAAATGAATGGGCAGAGAAATGTATATAGCCCTGCTTATGGTTGTACAAGACTGCAGATGTTATTTTCTTCTGTTCCTTTTGGCTTTCCTAGCCTGATTTTTTTTCTTGCTATATTGCCAAGACAGAGATTAAGAAGCAGTTGGTGTTCACTGTCAGGGGAAGGAAGGTGCTTGCAGTGATTTATTAACCTGTTGATGATACCTGCAGACTTCAGAGATGGTGAATGTGCACCAAGAAGGCCAATGGCATGCTGGCATCAAAAGTAGCATGGCCAGCAGGACTAGAGCCATGACCTGTACTTAGAACTGTTGAGGTTTGTACCTCAAATCCTGTGTTCAGTTCTGAATTCCTAACTTCAGGAAAGATGCTGTAGTTCTGGAGCATGTCAGAGAAGGGCAATGGGGCTGGTGAAGGGTCTGGAGCACAAGTCTGATGAGAAGCAGCTGAGGGAGCTGTGGCTATTGGAAGAAAAGGAGGTTCAGGGAAGACCTTATTGCCATCTATAACCACCTGAAAGGAGGCTGTTGGAGGTCAGGCTTGGTCTCTTCTCCCAAGTACTGAGTGATAGGACAAGATGAAAAGACCCCAAGTTGCTCCAATGGAGGCTTAGATTGGACATTAGGAAAAAAATTCTTCATGGAAAGAGCTGGAACAGGCATCCCAGGGAAATGTTTGAGTCACCATCCTTGGAGGTATTTAAAAGATGTGTAGATGTGGCAGCTGGGGATATGGTTTGGTGGTGGACTTGGCAGTGTCAGGTTAATGGTTGCACTTGATGGACTTAGAGGTCGTTTCCAATTTAAACAATTCTATGAGCATATAAGGAGCTGTTGGATGCATCCTCAAAGTCATGGTTCTGCCTTCAGGCCTGTTTCTCTGTCCAGGAGAAGTGAAATATTTATATCTGCTATAGTCTTATATCCCCTCCTCTCAGGGGCAATAACCCAGGTGGGAGAGAGTATCCAATCTATTTCATGCAGTCTCTCCAGTCTGTACTGCAGTGTTAATGAATACTCTTAGTCTTTAAAAGGATAACTGCAAAGCAAAATCAAAGGAAATGTGCAAATTCCTTGGCATGGTCAACAAATTGAGAAGTAAAAGCTGTATTATTTCTGGAAAAAAGGTAAACAGAGGAGCTCCTGAATCTGATAATAAGCCAAACTTTTACCTTCAACTTGACTACTGTTCTTACTCAAAAACTCTCATTTGAAAATGTCTATAAGCTGTGAGTTTGCTGACTAAGTGTTTCACCTAGGCCTAAATAAAATTGAAGTTTCACACATCCTTGCAAAGGCCACTGGGTAGGATGAGGTAGTGCTGCTTCAGAGGCTTTGTAGAGCAGAGCAATTCAGAAAGACATGCTTAGTTCCAAGTTTCAAAAAAGCTCTAAATTCTGGAAACACTGAAATTCTCATTCCTAAGAGAAGTAATTGTTCCTTTGTGCCTCTTTTGAAAGTGAGTCTGTCTCCCATGGTTATTAAGGAAAAAAAAAAAAAACACCTGACATACAGACATACACAAACATACATAAATGTTCTAGGAGAAGCCTGGGAAGAATATGTCCAAAAGCAATTTTAATATTTGTGTTCTCAAGTAAGAGAGAATATGAGGACAAATAACTTGTATATGGAACAAATATGTAACAAATATGTAACATTACTTGAGAATAAAGACCTTGAAGAGTTTGAATCCAAAGCATACTGTGTGACTGAGTCTCTATAAGGTGTCCCTTATCTTTTGAGTCTCCCAATTTTATTTGTAACACTTCCAGCAGCACTTTCCTGAAGGTATACTAGTGGTATTATGTATGATTGAGGAGAGACTTCTAGAAAGCCATCTTCATTGTCTCAGCTTGCATTTTATTTGGAAGATTAATCAGCTGCAAACCTCCTTTCCTGTCTGAAGGTCATATAAGTTGCATAGAACAAAATATATTTTATCAGCTGGCAGAGATTTTTAGCTTCTTTTGGCTGTTCCAGTCAAAAGCTACCTAAGTTGATTTAATGAATGGCTGGCGCTAGCCTGTTCTGGTTTATGCTTTTTGCTGGTCTCTAAATATTGTGTCAATGTTTGACATGCTAGGAAGAAGTTTTTTTAGGAATTGGGCTACACCAAAACTGTGGTAATGCATAACTGATTATGGTAGAGCAAAGTTAGGAGCCTCAAGGCTGATAATAGATAGCAAGTTGGTGAAGTGATCTTGTGCTAGTTATTCACTCGTACACTTCTAAGTGCTATTTTAATGAGCTTTCACAAGAGGGCAGAGTCGAATTTGCTCCAGAAATTGTAGATGGCTTGGGACTTAACTTATATCTAGAAATAAGCTAGCTCAAATTCCTTTGGTTCAAGGACAGCATGGGCTGTATTATTAATGTTTTCCACCTGTATTGCATCCATACCAGGTGCTGGGAGGCTCATGACTTGCTGCTCTCTAAACGAGAGTCCCAGGGAAAGCCACAGCCTCCCTCAACTGTTCTGCCCCAGCCAGAGGAATGCTGGAGTGTGGAGGAGATCTGCAAACATGACCCTTGTACCACCACTGCCAGTTTTTGCTTCTTGGACCTAGCTAAAACAATCTCTTATGTGTTGTTAGCACAAAAATCCTGTCATTGTTAGCACGAGGTGATGTTGTGGCACACCTTAATGAGCTCTCTGTAGTTTGTAAACATAATAGAGAAGATACTATTTGACACCAACAAGGTTTCCTTGCAAGCTACTCAAAAAGGAAATACTGTGTATCTCCAGCTTTATGAATCTGTAAGTATGTTGGACAATTTATTTATTACAGTTACTACTCTACCCAAAACCATCATCCTTGTTGAAACAGTTCAGAGTCTACAGTTGAAACTAGCTCCCCTTGTCTCTTTCTTTATTAAAGGACAAACTGAGTTGCTTTTTTTTTTTTATTCCCCTGGAGATTCTCAGAAGTGTAGTTTCACTTCTTCGCTGTATCTCAATACTGTGTATTCCAGTAGTTTAGCTGAAAGAGTTGCTTCTGATCTTTCATCACTCATTGAAGACCCTTGTGGTAGTTTATCCTGTACAATTCAGTGGTACTTCAATCAGTGCAAGTCAATGGGCATTTAACATTATAATATTCTCTGCATTTGAAGACTTTAACCTTTTTTTTTATTTTATTCCTCCTTCAGATTGACCCCAAAGATTACACTTTTTCTGGACTGAAGAATGAAACTGTGGGTCGACTGCCTGGAAAAGTAGCAGGGCAACAATTTGTCATTCAGGACTGTGAAAACTGTAAAATCTACATATTTGACCATTCTGCTACAATCACGATTGATGACTGTGTAAATTGCCAAATCTTTTTAGGACCAATAAAAGGCAGTGTGTTTTTCCGTGACTGCAAAGACTGTAAATGTGTGGTTGCCTGCCAGCAGTTCCGCACGCGGGACTGCAGAAAGCTGGAGGTGTTCTTGTGCTGTGCCACCCAGCCCATTATTGAGTCCTCCACAGGTATGAAATTTGGATGTTTCCAGTACTATTATCCCGAGCTTGCTTTACAATTTAAAGATGCTGGTCTGAGTATCTTCAATAACACGTGGAGCAACATCCATGACTTTACCCCTGTGTCTGGAGAAAATAACTGGGGCCTTTTGCCTGAAACTGCTGTAGTCCAAGATTATGTTCCTCTGCCCAGCTCTGAGGAGCTGAAAGCTATCAGGGTTTCTACTGATGCTACAAAGAGCATCGTACCCATAACTCGAGGACAGAGACAGAAAAACAGCGATGAATCGTGTTTGGCCGTGTTTTTTGCTGGCGACTACACAACTGCAAATGCCAGGAAGTTAATTGATGAGGTAAGCAACCTTTGTCTTCATTCAGGTTTTTCAATTCCTAATTCAACGTTCCTGTGGACAGCCTCTGATTCTCCCTGAAGGGAGAATATAGAGGCTTTGTTTGTCTACTGACCATACTGATCAACTGTGCTGTTTAAAACTTTAAAGCAAGGTAAAAGACTGAATCTCATTTGATCAGTCAGTTCTTTACAACTGACATCCTGTGACTGGCACATCTATGCTCTAACAATTCTGGTGTACTTTTCCATCATGGCACAGCAAAGTGATGCACTGAAGAAAATGTGTAGTTGATTTGATGAACTTGTTCAAATATAGTGTACGTGATTGACAATGCTTGTGAGAGAGATGTAACCAATTAACTTGTTAGCTTGTCCTAAAAGTCTCAGCTAACAAAAGTCTGTCCTGAAAGTTTATCCATTACTAACAGAGAGTCTTTAAAAAAAAGTGTTAAAGTGTATCCCCCATATCATCCAGTATTGGAACTTTTTTTCTGAAAGGGGCAGTGAGTGTCATGGCTGGTCAGCTGTCTTCAATGACTTAAATAGCTTTTTTATTGGTCTTTTTTTTTTTTTTTCCCTCCGTGAGACAGCAGCTTCCAAGCTTGACTGAGTTTGTACTTTCCTGGGGCTAAAACCTGGGAGCAGCTGGCTGCTTTCACCATCCTGAAGTGCCAAGGATGTCACAGAGCAGAGCCAGTAACTCAGTAACCATAGGCTACAACATCTGAGAATGGTATCTGCAAAAGCTGCTGATCACAGTGTTGTATGATCAACTAAACATCTGGTGGAGCTCTTTTCCTTGGGTTTTTATCTGCAAGGAAAGAAAGCTGTAGGGTGTCTCCTTGCCTCCTCACTGCCCAGCTGGACTTTTATAAGTCTGAGCTACTGAGTTACTTGAGTGAAGGCAGATAATGATACTTAAGGGTGATTTCTGACAAAGGAACAGCTACAGGAGGAGAGTAATAGATGTGTTCTCCTCTGTTAGCAGTTATTTAGAAGTTAGAGTTAAAAAGATGCTAAAGGACTAGTTAGTGAGTTTGTGTGGGAAATCTAACTGCTCTGTAGATTAATGGATGTTTTGGAAGCAAAAATGTATTTGTTCTTTCCCCATGTGCTTTTAGTTTCATATTAGATTTGGAGTAAAAATGAGGGGGTGGAATGTGTATATGTGTTTTCAAATGTTGTTAACTCTTGTTCCAAAACTGAAAACTTAGCAGTGGATTGATGAGACTTTGAGCTAATGCTTGACTGAACGATTGCAGACTAAAGAGAACTGACTGCTTGTTTCCAGATGCTGAATGACTTTAACTCCCATTAGTTTCTACTTGTGAAGGATTGTGGGGAAAAACACATAACCCCAGGCCCTAATATATAACACAAAAACATTCACATTTATTCCTCTAGGTTCACTAGGGCAGAGGAGAAAATCTGGATGAATGGAATGAAAATAAACAGAAGTGTAGAAAAAGCAAATGATCTCTGAAAAGAGCAAAAAGAGTCCCTTTGCTCTGAGACTTAATATGTATGGGAAAAATGAGTCTATTACAGTGTAATCTGGATACTCAAGTTGAACTCTGCCTTAGAAGCATTTTTAACATGAATTCTTCCTCTGTTAACAGATGACTAGCAAAGGCTTTCAGCTGGTACAGACTAAAGAAGTTTTAATGAAGGCAGAGGATGCTCACAGAGTTTTCCAGCAGAGTGCATTAGAATTCATTCCACTGCTGGAAAAAGGTTTGTGTATTCTTTCTCCTCTTGTTATAGAAATCTGTCACTAGAGAGTTCTGGAGAAGAAGGAGGAATGGAGGACAATTTTTTATTTCAAGGGCATACTGCAAAACCTGTTGAGATGAGTTTTGGAAGCCCCAGTGAGGGCCTAAACCAGCCAAAACTCCTGAAGGCATCAAAAATAAGTTATTTCACATATATTTTGTGTTTCTGTTCCCCCCCTAGTGGCCCAACTGCATAGCTCAGGAGCAGTGGCACATGCAGATCTGCCTGGAATGGTCAAAAAAAGCTCATGCTTTTAGACTATTTCTGACTTATCCCAGTGATAGCTCAACCACTGAGCTATTCAGTGTTTATGTATAAATTGTTTAACCAAATCAGTATAGGTGTACATAAAGCAGATAAGTATTTAAAATTTTCTTGACAACTGGTGTACCGTCAGAGTATTTCAGAAGTCTTTCTATTGATATGACTGCAGTTGGGTTTTGTCTCTTTTTTCAGAAGTACTGATGTCTTTTTACCTGTTACACGCTAAAGCTCACTGCACATTCCCAAACTTAGCAGCAACAAGCAGGTTTTTTCATGGTGACATGAGAGGTCTGTAATGCTCATTGCAAGAACAGGACAAGTCATTGCACTTGTAAGATGATAGTCCTGCTTATAGGCTATATTACAGTCATGTGGGAACAAATACCATGTTCAGAATGAAACCAGAGAAAGCAGATCTGCAAATAGTGGGTAAGAACAAGTCTAAAAATCGGGCAATTCACTATCTTGGGACTGAAGCAAAAGTGCTTGAATGACTCAATCCCACTCCAGATGTCTGTGAAATGGCTCACTATTTGAGCAGAATAGTCTGACTCACTTCCATGATGCCTTGCACTCCTTAGCATTTTTGTGCTATTGCTGCCTTTCAAGAAGTAAAGCTGGAATCCTGTCCAAATATCTAAAAAAAAAAAAGAAAAAAAAAGGCATGGAATTGCACATAACATGGTAGCTTTTTTTTGTAACATGTTTAAGTCTTTTTAATGCTCTATCTGCCACTATGGGGTGGCTCAAGCAAAAAAATAAAATGCTTGTTGCAAGCTTCACAATTCCCTATGGGTTGAGAAATCTACTGTTTCAATGCCAAGCTTAAAAGTATTATTGATTTTAGACTAAACTATTTTCTAGGTCCAGTGGTTGCTTTGGAGTTCAACGGAGATGGTGCTGTGGAACAATGTCGAAGCACTGTAAATGAAGTTTTTAGTGGGACCAAGGTAAGCTGGTGTATTACTTTGTTCTCAGAAAAATTACAGAATGTCTGAGCTATTTCATGGTCAAGATACAGTACTGAGATACTGATAAAGAGATACACATTTTTTTTAGGTTCATGGGTAGTAAAATTGGAATATCCTTTTGTTGTTGTTTTATTTTTTGTACTCATTAGTTACTTTTTGCTGACAAGAAAATTGTCCTAGGAGAGTTCTGAATCCCCAAATCCACTGAAGAATATAAGATTTCCACTTAAAACTTTTTTCACATAACACAAAATCAAGTTCTATAATTGTAGCACAAAAAAGTTCCACTTCAAGTCTTGGATTTAGTCACTTAACTTTGTGGTGTCCTGTCTATTAAACCACAACAAAGATAATATGATGAGATTTCAACTTTTTTCCATGTTTGCTTTTGCTGTGTAGGATGCCACAGAATGCTGTCCTTCACAGACAGTGTTCTTTTTTCTTCTGTCAGCTTCTTTCACTTTAGCTTCCTTACACCACATCTCCTCTTTCCTTGCTGTTTGATTTCTCTAAATGGCAATGGTTTTGAGAATGCTTATGGAAACATTTAGAGCACTCCTGATAACAGGAGAGTGACAAAACCTTTGCTTTCAGGCAGCTGTTCAAAGTTGACTAGAATGTCTTTGAGACATTTCATCCATGCAGCTCCTTGCTGTCTTTCAGTTCCTTTCAAAATACTTGGAACTAGGCTGCCCAGTTTCTGGAAAAGAGTTATCTTGTAATAAGTAATCCCATTTAATTTTTTGATTGAGGCTATTGCTTGCATATTGAGATGGGTAAACACCCACAATGTCGTCAATTTACTCTCAACTGTTCGGATACTACCTAAGACTATTATTGCTGGTCTGCTGAAAGCTTTCAAAGGTGACTGTCCTGGAGCTTGGACTTCAACATACATTGATAAATTTTGAAAAATGAAAAAGTAATTGAAGTTACCTTTTAAAAAATAGTCATCTTCTGGAGCAGATATGAAGATTTTTTATGGTAATATAGTACAAGGAAGTATTTCTTACAAACTCTCCCTTTCTGTAAAGGAAAGTAGTAGTCTAAGGATTTTGTGTATATATTTTTTCCCCACTCTTCTGGAGAGAGTTGACTTTACTTATCAGAATATATCTAAATAGACACTAACTGAAGCTGTGACCCCTGAATAATGAAGCCCCAAGCTCCTGATCCTGAAGGCAAGGTTTAATGCAGCCAGCATGTGTGCTAGAAAATGGTGATGATAACAAATGGTGGATGCATCAGGGCAGAGAGATGCAGTGAGAACCAACAGAGTTGTGTCTCTCATGAAATGCAAAACTAAAAATGAGCATTACTGGTTCCAGTTGAGCATGACTGCTTTTACTGATGCATAAATGTTTTTTTGTTTAACAAAACAGGTTTTTGTGTCGGAAAGCAAAGCATCAGCATCTCAAGATGTAGACAATTTCTACAATTTTGCTGACATGCAGATGGGAATGTGAAGTTTAGCATGAAGGTGCTCACATATGGTTTGTCTTAGCACTTGGACATCACTTGGCTTCAATATCACAGTAGTTCTGTCATTTAGTTTTGTATTTCTCATATATCCCTTTTATAATGCCACTGGTGGTTTTTAATACCATATTATCTCAACTGGAGTAAACTGCATAGCTAGCCATGTGCATTGTGTTTGAAACTTAAGTTTAACTTCAAAAGCAATTGAGCTTTTCTACTAACGTTTTTACAGTGATTTCTAAAAATCTATTGACACTTGAATGTTTCTTGACAACATCTAATGGTTATACATATTTTAAAGTGCAATGCTGATCCAAGTTCGATGCAATAGTAATTGTTATCTTTCACTCAGATGTATTGTTTAGAAAGTGTATTTATGTGAAATTTGCCCTTCAAAATTCTCCCACATGCAAATTTGTCTTCACTGGGGGTCCAGGAAGGAAGCAGTCGCTGAGTTTTTCTGAAAGCTTAGTCTGAAATGAATTGTACTTGTAGCATGCTTTCAAAAGTTTGTGACTTTGGCTTTACTCTGCTTCAGCATGCTTTTTGAATAAATTTGTTTGCAACAACATTTATGGTGAGAGTTGTCACAACAGCATTCTGGTAAGTGAGCACTTCCAGGCTTTTCTGCTTTGAGGTGAATCCTGAGCATGAGTGCTCTGCTGAAGCTACTCTAAGATCTGCACAGGTTCTTTGGCGATACATCTGCCTCTGGCATTGCCAGCTCACACATGGGATATATTTGAGGTTTCTTTGCCCTTGAGCAATAAAGCTCTGGCATATTATTGTTTGCTAGAAGGGACGTAGCCGGAAGTCAGAGAAGGACTCTGATGGCATTAAAAACCCTTTCTTCCTTCCTAGACCCCAGGAGAAAGCTTTTACATGCGGAAGTAATATAGAAAGTGCTGTAAAGTGCTAGACACTGCCATAGGATTTATTTTGTATTAATTCTAAAGACAGATGGAAGGAGTGTTTTGTAAGATGCATCTGAATAGTGCTCAGTAATAATGCTTATTGCTAAATAATGCATATTATAATGCAAATCTATATGGATATTAAATACATGATTTACATGATTGATTTATTTTTGCATATTACATCCTGATTTTTCCACATGAACTTAAAGCTTCAGTCCAGGTTTACAAGCCCTCTGTAATACTTGAATCAATTGTGCATGCAGACACAGAAATCCAAATTTCATAATTAAAACATGGGTTGCCAGCTTGCATAGCCTTTACAATTCATTGAAAGGACTGGGGCTGTGTTGAGGTGCTAAAGCAATTTCCTCATTATGGTCATCCATCAAAAGGGAAGATCTTGCAAATTTTAACTTAAGATGCATCTTTGAGTCTTGACTCATCGGTTTCACAGCTCTGGAGCTCCAAAGTGGTTGGCTAAAGACATCTCTAATTTTTTTTTTAATTAGCACATGAAAGAATCTCTTCAGAAATTCATTGTTCTGTAATGACCAAAAGAGGTTCTGAATTGTCATTTTGTTGCTACTGGGCACATGCTTGCTTTTAGTTTAAGCGCAAGCATATGTCCTTAGGACCTCTTGTTACAGTTATGCATAGATTATATAAAGAAGAATATCTTCTGAATAAACTAAACTATTGGTGTACTGGAGGTAAGAAAGTTGCCTCTTCTTTGAAATGTTTTTATTTAACAAAGTCAAGCCACCACCAGAATTCAGCTGGTATCAGAAATTACCAGTTACTTGCACTTAGCTAGCCAGGAATTTTTTTTTTGGTTTTTTTTTGTTTTTTTTTTTTTTTTTTTTTTTTTTTTTTTTTTTTTTTTTTTTTTTTTTTTTTTTTTTTTTTTTGGGAAGTGTGAGGTGAGGCTGTAAAAAGAACTAAAACCTTTATCTTACTCTCTAAAGTACTAGCACAAGTAATCAGTCAACATTTACAGGAAATAATCTAGACATGTACAGTAAATGTATTATTTTGGTATGGAAAGTACTTTGAAATTGTATAATGTACTTCAGAGCTGTCATTGTGTGATTTCTATCAGCAGTACATATACCAGACTATCTTGGTCTCTAAACTTCTACATATAATATTTCCAAAGTTACATGCTGACACATGATTATGTGTATGTTTATAGCTTATTTTTTGTATCATCAACCTACTCTGGAAACAAAGTGCTAAATGGACTTCTGTGACTCCCTTTGCTGGAGGATGGGACTTGAAACAGTGGAATAACTTTTCTACATGCTGGGAAAGATCAGTGGTGATTTTTTTTTTTTTACATGAAAGGCCTTTTTACTGGCTTCAAGAATTTTTAATAAAACTCCCTAAATAATGAAGGTGTTTCTCAATCCAATGATTGATTTCCATTTCTTGCTAACAGGTGTTAAAAACACTTCTAGCTTAAGAGTCAGGAATTCTTTGCATTACAGAATGGTACGTGTTTGGTACGTGTTTAATGTATTCTTTGTATATTTCATGTGTAGCTTTTAATGTAATTTGTATTACACTGTGAATGTGATTAATAATAAACATTTGAAATATTTGAACTCTGGATTCTGAAGATGTTTTAAAATTATGGTATATTGAAAAACATAATGACATTATATTAGGTATAAAAACTGGGATATTAAACAGGGATATATCTTGAAATAGATACTCACAGCTAGTTGAAAATAAGCTTTAACTCTCTAGGCATTCATTCTCAGAAAAGGTGATTTTTTTGGCATCAGGGATTTTTCCTCAGTCAGAGATTGTGGTGGTTATAGTAGTAAACTTGTTAATTTAGAAAGCAAGTCCATTTAATATCTGAAAATGAGTAAAACCCTTCTGAAAATAGGTAAACATTCAATACATTTTCAAATGTGGCTTTAAACTGGTCAGAAATGTGACTCTTCCAAGCAGAGATGGTCTAGGGTAACTATCACTAAACATAAATGTTTGGAAAGAACATAAAGTACTGTATCAATACAATTTTCTTTTGAATATATTGAGTAAAATTGTGACGCTTTAAAGTATCAAAGTTTTTGGCTTACCTTTAGCTATTTTTGTACAAATGTACAGTTTAAAAACTATCTTGTTGCCCCAGTTGGATCCAAGTTGCTTAATAATCTGTTCTTTTATGTGTCTGAGTCATAGCAAAGCTACCCGTAAGTATTTTCATCATTTTTACCAATCACATCTTCAAATAAAAACATGAAGTATCTGTGCCCCAGTTGGTAGAAGATTGCCCAATTTCTTTTGCCACATTTAATATATATACATTTTTTGCATTACTTTAATCTACGTACCAGGCTGCACTTACATAACTCGGACAGATTTTTTTTCAATTCCATGAAGCAGACTTAACCTTTTATTACAAAACACTTGCTTAAGTCATTCTTACTAATAAAGGGGGAAAAAGTTTTACTGACTTAAGCATGAGTAAAACTCTGGAGCTGAATATTTTCTTATTTAAATGGCTGGCTTTTAAGTATTTAGGTTTTATTAATACAGAATTCAGGGTTCTGCACAAATTTAAATCAGCATGGATAATATCTTCTAAAATAATAAAGTTCCTTGTTGACTCATTGAGACCTTTGTGCCATTTATTTTTTTGAATTAATGAGTAAGCCTCCTGAGTCCACAAGGGTGATATACATCTTTGGAGGTCTGCAGGAACAACTCTTCCAAGGCATGTTTAAATCTGATCTAAACAATGTAAACTCTAGTCCAACAGTTTCAGAAGCTATGAACAAGTACCAATTGCAAGCATTGTCTCTAGCATCTATGATTTGAGTGGGATGGTGCAACTGGCTGTAGCACGTCCTGAAGCTGTGTGCTGTAGAACTGCATTTTGCTGCAGTATATGTTGGAAGGCAGCTAGCTCTGTGAGTCCACCCTGTCCCCTGGACACTGACTGCAGAGTTTGCAGTATGCGGACAACAATTTCTGAAAAGTAATAATTTGTTGTATTGCCATCCTGAGGTTTTTCTTAAACTTGTCTAGTCTAAGCTGTCTCTCAATACAACCATCTACATGTGGCAAAACCTTGCAAACATCAAACCTGCTAGAAACAACATGTGCAGGAGGATTAACTGAATGCCTGGGACTCATGGAGCATTAACAGTCCAGACATTAATATCTTGGTGTCCCGTTTGATAGAAAAATCCTTTTTACTGCTTTCATCTCTTCAGAGTGCCCGGTTGCCATAAGACTGTTGCTGGTAATGTTTGTGGTCAGAGTCTTCCTGAAGCACACGTAGTCATCACTGCTTCTGAGTAAGAGAGAAAAAAAAGGAGGAGGAAGTGAGAGAAGATTTTAAAAAAGCTCTGAAGTTTTCTGAATGCATTAAAAAAAATGTGCAACTGCTCATTCCTTTTTTTTTTTTTTTTGATGCATTTAATGATGATCCCCAGCTATTACAATTTCATAGCCAGAGTATCTGAGTATTTTTCCAGAATGTATATTAAGCAACGTGGCCAGCATCTGTCAAGTACAAGTCATCCTCCTTCCAATTGCTCAAGGCCTTAAAATGTCCAGTGCTGCAAGGGTCTAGGAGATCTTTCAAATAAGTGTGGATTTTGCTTGTCTCCTTTTGCTAAAAAATATGTAGATAGTTTGTCCTTCAAACAACAGATAAAGTTGATAGATAGGAAATTACAGTGATGTTAAATGGCTCTTGAAGAGTGTTTAAATGAGTGTTTGTCTGATGTTCCCAAACTGCAAAGGCTGAAAGCAATGTGCTATTATAAGTTCTACCCAAATGATGAAGCTAAATTTAAGGCAAAGCACCTCTGCAGTACTGGGAGTTCAAAGAACTGTGTGTCTAAATGACACAGTGTCTAAAAGCTCTCTGCTTTTCCAACTTCATTTTAACACAAGTATTATGGTAGTGAAGTCACAGTTCATAGAGTCATGTGAGAATCTACTTTTTTAATTTTAGGAACCTTTTGTCATAGGGAAGAAAACTTGGAAAGCTTGGGTTTTTTTCTTTTTTTTTTTTTTTTTTTTTTCCTGTTTAAGCCATTAAACTCGTGTCTCAAAAATTAAAAAAAATATCAAACCTTTTGGGGGATATGGAAAGGTAGGATGACCACAGAGCTGTGATTTCTGAGCACTGAAGGGAGCAGCAGCACTACTCTCCCCTACTTACATGGATGCTGTCTGCTGTGGTGAGATTTCCCCCAAACTGATGTATATCACCAGAGAGGCAGCTAACTTTTCAGGTCTTTTTCCTCACTAATACAAGCATAAAATGTATTATTTGAAATTTTTTTTTGTTATGTACTTACTTTTATGCATTTAAGGTACAGAGCTATAATACTAATCGCTTTTGAAAGCTACTAGCAGCCCTCTGCATTCTGTGCTACTGTCTTAGAAGGAGAAAGATAAATCAAAGATCTCCCTAAGCACAGAACTTTGAACTTGTCAGATCCTGGGAAGTGAAACTGGCACATTTTGCTCTTAAGAGAGTAAATGGCTCATGATTGTGAAAGTACTATTTTTTTTTTTTTTTTTTGTCTGATTGTGCTGATCTTTTTATGAAGGGAGATCTTCCCAACACTTCTGAAGTCTCTCCACAAAAAACCCCAACACTTCAGGGGCCATTTTTTACAGGGTCCTGGAGATAAAATGGAAGGGCTGTACTATGACCTGAGGGCATCTTTTGATAGCTGCCCCAACAAGTGCTAAAGGATTGGATTCAGTGTTTAAAGACTATCTTTTGAAGTTCTGAGTGTTCTTTGCTTCTATTTCTACTAGTGAGCATTAGAAACATTTTTAGTCACAAGGGTTTAGAGATGGCTAGTCATCCTTATTTGAGATTCTGCTTTGCATTTTTTTACACAGAAGAATGAAAGTTTCTCTGTGGTCATAATTAATGCTCACATTTGCAGGTGCATGTTTGTGCTTTATGGCAACAGTTCAATGATTTTGCTCACTGTGAAAGGAAAATAAGGAAGTTAAGCTTTTCTGTCTCTTGCCAGTAACTGCCAATGCTTGCTCTGGTTTCAAGGACAGTGTATCAAGTTTTCCTCAATGGTATCTGCTCTGCTGATGAAGGGAGTTTTATGCAGCATCTATGCATTTAAAAGAAAAGTGGTATACCAGCCTTTGGTATCTGTCTATTTCTTTTACCAGAAACAACTAGAATCACTAGCTATGGAGGCTTCTATGTGCAGGCTGGGAATGCCACAAAGACTTGGAGGTAAGGAGTTTGAATTAACTTTCCAGGCCTTTCCAATGCTTATTTCCACTGACTACTCCTCTGTGACATGCTTACCTTTTTCTTCACTGGCATCTGATCAGCAATAGTGGATACAGTATAAAAATATACATCTTGTTGCTGTTGTTCAAATTTACTGGAGTACTTCTAGGTATTTCAGTTAGAGGTGCTTCTTTTGTGTTTCAGATC